ATTTCAAGTGCGATTTTAAAGAGCTCTAGTACTACCAAATCCCCTTGAAAGCTGNATGGGTGAAATATCAGAATTGAAGAAATGTTCAATTCGTTGGAATATGCTATTGAAAAACGTCCTCTCCGCTTTGCTAGACGCCTAGTGGCCAACAATACTATTAGCGAAAAAACCCATAACTATTTTTAACTTCAATTTCAAGTGCGATTTTAAAGAGCTCTAGTACTACCAAATCCCCTTGAAAGCTGGATTATTTGATTGGTTTCGTGAGACAACTAAAGGGATGAGTCAAGTTCCGAGAGCCAAAGCTTTAACGAGGACAAGTTGATTCGACGAAATCAATTTATGGGTTACAACCAATGTGGAGCTTTTTTCAAGCCTCATGGGCCTCACTACCCACCCTCAATGGAAATTCTACCTCCCTATACCTAAGCTATATAGCAAGGTGATACCTTCTAATACCTTCGTGAATGGAAAATTTGCAAGGTTTCCACGATTTTGTTCACATACTTTACTGTTCTAATCCAGGTGGTGCAGATGATGTGAAAAGAGTTTCGTTTAGAAGAATGTGGATGAACATTAGCTGTTCAGGGTTTAGAAGATCGATGCCCTTTTTGGGCTTCCCTCCCAATTTGAATTGGTCAGCCTTCCATCTTGACCTTTGTAGACCTTTGGACACCAGAAAAACAGACTTGTTTACTAGACATTGTCATGGACCGCTTCTCATGCACTCTGTCGTCACGTGGAAATAGAACTTGTTTCGTGAACACCACAAATCCATTACCTGACACATCTACTGAAATCGTGGGTCTCGGAGAAGTAGACAGGGACCAAAATTCGATTCTTCCTTACAGTGACTTTACGACGTGATAAAATGCAATGGACGCAGAACTTCACAGACGATATGTTTCACTTCAATTCATAGCCTCATTAAACAGAAATCCAATAAACCCATTCACGACGCAATAAAATGAACCCTGAGCGAGGAAATGAAGCATTTGGGCAGGTAACTTCTGGGGATTTTGAAAGACGACCGCGAGCCCGAGCCAAGACCTCCAGCCGGACTATCGTAGGAGCTGGGTTCAGACCGATTTTAGGTCTTAACGATAACGGCACATTCTTAACCACGATAATGTCCGTCCAACGAGCCGGAAAGTTCTTCGAAGCATGAATGGCTTAAGAGTTCTCTTTTGTGGTAGATAGAGGGAGATTCGAAGGCCAACGACCTGTTAAGAAACGAAATCTCTGGTGAAATCGAGGTTTTCGAAGGTGAGAAATGGTTTTTAAATGACCAAGTTGGATTAGAAATGCAGAGGTTCCTGTCCAATTCGGGTCATAACGACTGATGATGACTAATGGATGACCTGTTCATTCTTTTCTATCAGAAGCCTATTTAGGGAACGAGACTTTATGGATGGCCATGAAGAAAGAATGATGATGAATGATTCATGGACAAGAAATATGTCAAGGGAAAGAAAAGCAAAAATATTCATGGGAAGCTATTAATATGGTGACGCAATGACGCATTATTGCCATTATTGCCTGCAATCGCAACCCCTACTTATTGCTAAAAGCTGTTGTTCGACAATGGGGAGGGGGAGATGAGGGCACCCTGTATTTTTATTACCATAGCCTACAACGTGGCAGGATGACAGGATAACCTTGTGGTATGTGAGCAGTGCCGAGGGATTTGCCGGGTTGCGATTCCCCAGCCGATTTGGGAAGTACTACTGATTACGTGACACACTAGTAACCTGCTCAATCGACTATATTGGCAAGGACCTCTATTACTAATGGTAAAGAAGGGTGCACAGGTCTGAACCGATGTAAGGTCAATGTAGTTCTGTTCGACAGAATCAACTAAATCTTAACGATTATGTACTTAAATCCTTTGCTTATTGCCTTTACTAATGAGAAATTCTGAAGAAGACCCTGACAATGAGCTTTTTGNTGAGTATCTGAACCATGTTCTAAAAAGGAGTGCTTCGAGAAGAATTCTTTCCAAATGGGAGGAACGGAGAGGAATCGTGTTGTTTTCGCTTTTTGGTAAAACGAGGGTCATATTTCATTGAACCTCTCAGAAGGCCATATGGAATAGAATGACAAAGTATCCACATCAATAGGCTCGACGAACAAAAGAGAAATTTCAAGAAGAAACAAGCACGCCGGGTACAAATCCCGCTGATAAATTTATTGAGCCATCCCAAATATCGCTCATAAATCGGCTTCCTGAGAAATACGATACACTGGGAAAGTGCTCATATTCTTTTGTGACTTCATCAGTGGTAAAACCCGAAACTGTTCCCGAACACACCGTTTTTGCACAGACCACACCCTCTTGCGACGGAATAATGCCGTTCAAGACAGTTTTGTTCTTTCTGGATCTAAACCCACTTAATTTAGATAAGGTCCTTAAATATCTGGTTGTGGATAATACATCACCTGTATCACCTGTCGTCCCGTTGATTATCGATTTCTTTGAGAGGGCGCCAGTAGTCCTTATTCGTCCCTGTCGCGAATAAGACTAGTCCACTGAATCCTACTCGCTCGAGGGCTCCAAGAACTCGGGGAAAACATTCCTTAGCGCAGGTACATATCTGTTGAGAACTTTGCATCGGTTTAGATATCTTCCGGGATTTCTTGGAAACTTCTACGGGGTTCCTATATAGGATAGGGACCTTACCCACTTGCACACTAATAGCACGAAGAACATAACCGGCTATTTCTTCCTCGCCTATTTAACCATATAACGACCGAACTTCCAACATTGTTCGTCCCAGACTTCTTTACGAGTTCAAATCCGGCCAATCCGCCACTGAAGCCTATTGAAACTTTTGTCAAGGATTTGACCTTAAAACCTCTTCCGAGCAGTTCCGAGCTTGACTCCGTGCAAGCTTTGTTCCAAAATCATTGGAAGTCGAACATGGGATATTTTGTTCCAAAACTTAACAGAGTCAAACAAAAAGTTCGAAGAAGAACCTCCATCTGGTCAACCCAATGCGAAATCATGAAATCTCCTGGTATGTTATGCGCATACGAGTGAGTATTGTACTTTTGCAGTATTTCTATGGAAGCTTTCAGAAAATCTGGACGATTGTAAAATTTTCGCCGATACTTCCCGTATAAGCTAATACATCGGTCAATCTCGTCGCCCACGTGTAAAGAGAAGGCAGTGAATTTCCTCCCTTCAATTCCCATGAATGGAACGTCGAGGGCATTTGGTTAGAATT